GTCAATTCAATAGCTGCAAGTTTCTTTAAATCGATAATCGATAACTCGTCTAATCTTCTTACCACCAGATCAGCCGCACCAAGTTCATACATCGGGTGTTTACTAGCCACAGCCACACATTTCATCCTCCCATCATGAGCCGCCTCTATGGTCTGGTTCGAGTTTCCAAACACGATGCAACGTTCCGGTATGAAATCAAGAAGTTGTGCTGCATAAGCGAACATCTCAGGATCCGGTTTACCTCTGTATACATCTTCTGATGCAACTATCACACTGAAGAACTTTCTGATACCTATCGATCCAACTGCATTCTCTAATGTTTCCCGGGGACGGGTAGATACAAGAGCCATCGGGATCTTATGATTCATCAAGGCATTAACAAACTCCTGCGACCCGTCTCTGAGTCTATACACTCCTCCATGTAACGCCTTAAAGATCTCTTCTTTCCGCGAAGCCATTCTTCTAACTTGAGCAGGATCTCTCGACCAACACAGAACCTCGGATATCGCTTGCTCGTTTTTCATCCCTTCAACACGTCTGAGAATAAAAGCTGGAGGAGGAGATTTCCCTTCTTCCTGAGCTAAAGTCAGCCATGACTGGTTCTCAAGGTCAGGATTATCTTCAATCAATACTCCTTCCCACTCAAATATCGCACCTAACCAACCGCAACCCATCCGCTCTTGCCTAAGTAACGGATTATGCAACGAAGGCTTATCGGCTTTGTTCTCAGGAGGCCATAAACTGGGTTTACTATCTGCACCAGAATCAAGGTAACTCCAAGTTTTCGGTAACCTTTCGTCTTTCTTCTTATACGCAGGCATCTCTTTAGTCAGTTCCATAGCAAGAGCCTTAACCGGAAACACCGACATTCGATTCTTTCTCACATTCACCATCACATCAGAGATAATCCCTTTCCTACTGAAATCTACCTTCACAGGTAATCGAACTACGTTCTGCGGTTTCTGCGGTTTCGATTCGTTCTTTACAGAAATCCTCACAATCGAAGGTCGATGACCCAGCAATGATACAGCACCAATAGCATCCGCCATGATTACAGAATCTAGCAGCTCGTAATTCGTATAATTCAATCCTAAATCTCAACCAATCTAATACGATTATCAAACCCCTAATACAATCCCAATTCTCAAAACCTTTATTCGATCACGAGCTTTACCCAGAGAATCAAGTAGAGAAAGAGAGAAACTTTACAAGTAAGAAAACACTAGAATCAAGAAATTCACACGACCCAGATGATCGAAACTTGAAGATCGATCTATGTACACATCGAAGAAACCCAGATCGAATCAGGAAAATACAGAGAGAGAGAGGGAAATTCGATTGAAACCTGGAAATGGAAACAACCGATTGATGAAAAACTCAAAGGTGGTTTTTTTTTTTCCGGAAATGGGTTAATTTGTGATTCTCTTAAATTCAAGCTATTTTCTTCAATTATTATCTTTTTTTTGTTCTTTTCTTCTTGTTTTATATTTTTTTATGTGGTATATATAATTCACACCGAAACTCCTAATCGAGATATTTCTCGTTTTTTCTTATCTCAACGGTGAACAAACATCCACGTGGCATATATCGAGATGTGTACGAAAAAAAAAAGAAGAAGATTATTCTGTACGTTGAAATACCGCACAAGAGAAAGGAGATATCTATTTTGCCACGTCTCTAAATCTTTTGAGTCACGTGTCTTTTTAACTGAACACGTATCAGTTTTACAAAGCAGAAATTCAGCCCAGTACGATTTAGGCCCATAATAATAGTTTATGGGCTTATTCCTCCTTAAAAACCCACTACGTTCACAAGTTCATTGCAACCTACTGTAATAATTTTGGAGTGTTGAATCTAATTTTCACTTCGACCAAAAAAAAAGAATCTAATTTTCACTTTTTGGCCTAATCTCACCAGTTACCACTTACTATAAACATTATGTGAATTTATATTTAGATTGTAGCAAAAATAATTGTATAAATTATATACTATAAGTTATCAATGCTATACTTCACTACTGTAATTAAACATATTATTTTGGAAAATCACAAAGCCTCAACTAGTTCTAGTTTATGGAAGCTATTAATCATTCACTAATAATGGTCTACGTACAAACATGGCAAGTTTTTTATTTTATTTTTAAACATGGCAAGTTCACTAATTAATCCTTTGTTTTGTTTAATATTTTGACCAATAACAAAATCTCATTTTTATTAATGAGTTACCAATATAACCCATATAGTTGACCAAATTTTTGGAAACATATTTGTTTTTTGGTCTTATAGATTTTATCTCATAAAATAAATATATTACTAAATTTTTACATAAGTTGTAAAATACTTATATGCGCTTAAAAATGATGGGATAAGTAAGCAATGAAATAAATAATGTATTGAATTTCGCGTAAAAGTTATAACAGAAATAACCAATAAATTTTATTTGCGCGCGAAAAATACAAGATAGTTAAGTAAGGAAATAAATTCCCGCGTAAAAAGTGTAAGTCAAATTAGTAATGAAATATAAACATATACAAAAATCTACAAGATAAATATTTCATATAAATTATTTGCGTGTAAAAAACGCGGGATAAATAAATACGCATAAAAAAACCGCGGGAT